GGAAAGAGGGACTGTCTGACTCCAGCCCCAAAAGAGCAGGGCTAGGGAAGCACACCACTCTGACCTTGTGGAAAGCCGGGATGTGAGCCAAACCAGGGAGCTTTTTGATATTTTTTTTCCCTTGAGAGTGTTTTACCCTCTCTCCGTTCTTGTCTGAGTCCTTTGATCTCAGCCGGCAGCCGTGCATCTGACCCCTGTGGTGTGTTTGGGCACGGTGCCTGAGTCTGAGCTGGTCTGATGCTCGCTCACCTGGCTGGCAGAGCAAGGCACGGCACGCTGTGGCGTCTCCCCGACCTGCTTCCCCTAGGGAACAGGAGGGGAAGGAAGGATAGGTACTATCCTTTTACAGAGATATTTTGTCTGCGTTCACTTACGCACTATGTAGGCGAGAGCCAGACTCTCAAAGAGCTCCCCGGCTCTCGCTGTAAGTGCTTTTGAACAAAGGCCAAGATCTGTAAGAAACAAAGAATCCCTTTCAGAGGGCCTGCTTTGAAATGGGTCTCAATGCCTCTTTCAAGGGGCTGAACTCTGTGGGCATTTGAGGCCGGGAAACTCAAGTACAATATTGAGTGACCGCTAGTCCATTAGCGCAGATCAGTTAATACGTGAATGTGAAGGACTTGAGATAACCAGGGTATTTAACGCTTATCGCAGGTGACGTTTTAAATCGCACTCCCCTGAAGATTAATTTTAACTGAGTCCTCCAGACCGAATGGCCTAGTTGTTTTGTTCCCATTTAAACCTATCATACTGCTCCAAGGTCTTACTGTTGCAGGCGTCCCTTTTAGAATCGGAACATATGCAAAGCTTTTAATATTTATAACTTCAGTTTGTCAAAAAAAAAAAATACAGCTATCTTGACAAAATGTAAGTTGGTAAGTAGTAGGAGATTAGCGAGACTGCAAATTCTTAGTTCACGGCCAGTGTATAATTTAAAATATTTATCACATTTTGGGGGGGACATTCATTCTCTCGTTGAGAAAGCAGCTTTCAGGCAGATCTATTATATTGGAAATTAAGGGGAAAGTCCTACAAAAATTGATATCATAGACATTCCCATATGTTAAATCCTATGTCACTGCTGTTCACAATGAAAAATTGTGGTAATATTTATGTAAAATCTGCAATTATTCAGGAACTTAAGAGTATCTGTGATATTTTTTAGGTTGTGGCATACAGCCTGTCTCGGAAAAGAGGGTGAAGTGATGGTCTTTGGAGGAAGTAAAGATGACCTGCATCTCCTGGACACAGTCAGTAAATTTAATGTTTGTAAAATAATATTGTTACCTAGTGATAAGTCTTTTAACTCTAATTTCCAATAGTTTTTTTTTTTAATTTTATGGCAGAGGATTTAAGTAGACAAAATGAGTTCTGATCAGTTTTAAAACTAACAGCACCTCAAAATCTGGAGACACAGAAAGAGAATTCTTCCCCTTGCTTCCTTGTTGGGGTTATTGTGTTCATTTTTGTTTCTGAATGACTGATAAAACTAATTTTTGTGTACACGGTACACATGTGCTGTGACTTCAGCGATTAGCTTATCCCAAGTTACCCCAAGTTTCTGGATCATTAAGGTAGCTCCGTTCAACTTTTCCATGCCGGCCACATGACCACGGAAACGTCTTCCGACAGTGCTGGCTCCTCGGCTTGGAAACGGAGATGAGCACCGCAACCCTAGAGTCGGATTCGACTGGCTTTCGAGCAAGAGAAACCTTTAGCTTTACCTATGACTGGAAGGCACTGTTGCTTATGGAAGGGGGATTTCACCAGGTCACTGCTCTCACCGCAGACTGTCTCGTTGCCTGCCCTATGCCCCTTTCAAAGGGTCGATCAATCCCCTGGAGCCCCTTTGTGGGAAACACAGCAGGGAAAGCAGGAAAGGTTTTGTTCTGCAAATGGTGCTCCATTTGCTATCCTTAAGATCCAGTCCTCCATGTAGGCACGGTTGGTTTACACTTGTTTTGTTCTTGCTTAGGGACATTGCAGTGATTTATTGATTTTCCAGACCCAACCCTACTCGCTTCTCAGGTGAGTTGAGAAAGACTCTCTGTTCTTGCACGTACCCAGAGCTCAGCTTGGTTGGTCATGGGGGTACAAGCCTTTCATTAGCTCTTGCATTTTTGTGCTAATTTGCCGCCATTCATTGATCTTACCGACTGCTTTGATACAATCTCAGCCTTATTTCTTGGCTCTGACTGGCCCTTCCTGACTGCTTCCCCTCCCTATCTTCCTGTGTGTAGGGCTTGAGGAAATTCTGTTCCACTGTATCTGAGGAAGTGTGCTTGAAAAGCTTATACCTTGAATAAAACTTTGTTGATCTTAAAGGTGCCACTGAACCAGTGTTCCCCCTAGGCTGAGTTAGTGTGAGCTAGCTCACAGTTTTTTAGCCTCCGGCTCACACATTTTTGTCTTAGCTCAGGAAGGATGGCTCCAGAGCAAACTAATTTAAGCAGTAGCCAAATGGCTCGCTCACAACTTTAATGCCAGTGGCTCACAAAGTAGGATTTTTGCTCACAAGACTCCACGGCTTAGAGGGACTGCTTTGCACTGGACCCAAACTTTATTCTGCTGCTTCAGACCAACCCGAATCTACCCACCTAAATCTTACCTGAACAGTGCAACTCTAAGCATGTGCTCTCAGAAGTAAATCCCGTTCAGTTCAGTGGAACTTGCTTCCCAGTAAGTATAATTGAGGATTGTAGCTAACCCCCCCCCCCCAGTGAATTTGTAGTTGACAGGAAAGGCTGGCCGTGATCATTATTGTGGAGTGGGCATCATCATGTCTGTATTGTTTCAATAATTTGCTCCTATATACACTGGGGTTTTAGCCCACAAGACTCATTCTGGGAAATTTCTTCCAGGCTTTGCCTTGACTGCATTGCCAAAAATGCCGTCCTCTTGGAGAATCAAATATCCTGGTTACCATCCAAACTGCTTGAGCAAGCTATGGATAAAATCACTTACTGGGCAGCAGTCAGCCATCGCCAAGAAAAAAAAGCTGAAGCAGAAGGACAGGAGCAAAGTAATTTCGCCTAGTAGCTCCTTGTACAGCACAGACCGTTGTTGGAGAGCGTTTAGAAATGTTACCAGTCAACTGTTTAATGGGCTGAATTTTCCAAGGTTCGCGCTGGTCGGGGATACTTAGAAATATTCCCTCATTTCTTGGTACCTGAGCACCAGTTAGAGTTCTGAAGTTGATAATGGCTTTCTTGGGTGCCCTGAGCCAGTTCATAAAGAGTACAAGCACTAGTTCCACTTAAAACTAAACAGGGGCATAAAGTTTCAGAGGATCAGATTTGGTTACATTTCTGAATGGTGCCTCATGTTTGCCATTGTCTGGAAAAGGGAATTCATATACCACAGTCTAAGAATAGCATTCTTTGATTGGAGAGCACCACGAAAAGCTTAGCTGAGATTTTTATGGGCTACATATAATGCCATTTTGTAAGAACACCACAGATAAATGACTGTACAAACATCAGTTACCTTTCGAGTGTTGCACTCTGTTAAGTATTGTTCATCTGCTAAGTCAAAGCGCTTGCACTGAACCTTGGGCTCCCCCCCCCCCCCCCCTGTAATTAATCACAGTTTCAAAAATGTTTTACATACCGCACTTTTGATTGTGTAAAGTTTGTATTTAACATTGTTGAAAATATTTTGCTTATTTATTGTAAAAAAAATTGTTTATAGAAATATTTTCTTATCTCTTTTCAGGTATTTAGTTAATAGTCATTAAAATCTGGTGTGCATTTGAATAGAATGGTGGTAACTCAATAGTGTGAGAAAGAAAAACCTTGTTTTTGACCGAACGCCTCTTTTGAGTCTCCTCAAAGATGGTTACAGTAACTGGCCATCCGCAGCCTTTCCAACATCCCAGTTTTCCTAGGTCCTAGGACATTAGGTCTTCATTCTGTATACAGAAGTTCTGTTATCCCTCGGCTTCACAGTTAAGCCTTATGTTCCTGTGCGGTCAGCTGGTACTCGTGGGGTGGGGGGGCGGTGTTCCGAGGAAGAGAGAATGCACATTCTTTGCCCCCTTGCTTGAGTCATAAGTTGAAAAGGGGATTATGGATCTTTTCCCAAAAAATGACTAGGGCACGTCAAATAAGGGGCTACGTCACACAGATTTGATTCCGAAGTTAACGTGAATGACTTATCATTCTCAATCTAACAAGGACTCAGATACTTTAAGCACAAAAATAGGCCAAGGGATTTTAGTGGGGTAAACTACCCCACCTGGAAATGAAACACCAATTTTTTCTCCTCTTGTGCCTTTAATGGCTGTATTTCACCCAGAAACCTGGTAGCAGATGCAGTGGTGGGAAGGTTCCCTTGCTGAACATCTGCTTGCCATGCAGCTATTAATGTCCTGCTTTGTAATCTCTGGGAGCCTCTCTCAACACTTTGCCTCCACCTTCCTTTTTTTATTTAGAGTTCTCTTTCATTCTTGCACTCTGCTTCCCTCTATGTGCAGGACGTTTGGGGCCACATTCCACTGTTAAAAACGACTCATTGATCTGCATCTTTCCAAACAGTTTTTCCAAACAATATGCTTGGTTCTGTGTCAGGAAACCCGTTGTATTTTTATTGTAGGGTGGGGGCAGACAATGCAGATTGAAATCACAGTGTGAGGGGGAGGGAGGGTTAAGAACCCCCCCCCCCCGCATTGTTTTCCCACTCTAAAATTGCCCCGGGAAGCTGCCATTGCCTCAGTGGGACAAATGGCAGCTCCCTGCAACCATTTGAAATTGGGAGAAACTGTTGGAGGGAGGCTTAACCTCCATATTCCTGCTTCAAATCAGGTCCCCATGTGCCTTGTAAGTGGCTTTGTCAAATGCTGGGAACTCCAGACACAAACCATAAAGGTGCCATCAGCCAAGAAGACAGTTCACACATATCCTCATGAAGCTAATGGGAGCTGTGCAGAAACCCAGTAGTATCCCGGAAGAACTCTATCCTGAGCCTAAGAGACGTTCTTTCCCCAGTGGGTTGTGCCAAGTATTTAGAAGAAATGGAAATAATATGGTTAGAAGTGGTTTGGTAATTCTACCAGTGTCCAAGTAAGACATAATGATGGAGCTACCGGAAACGCTGCCCTAAAGTGAAACACTCGCCAGAGAAACTTGACACAGCATCCTGTGATTGCTTATTATTTGAGCCAGCAAACATCTGATGAGGGAGGTACCCCTAACATTTCTCATTTCGAAAATGCCTTTGGAGCCAGGTCCAGATACTATCGAGCACGCCTGTATCAACTTATGTTTTCATTAATATTTTATAATACCTATGAAAGGAAAGACAATTAATGCTTTTTCCCCTTTGCTGTACAGAAATAAAAACATGAAAATCTGATAGTTTGTCTTGTATATGTCTTAATTAAGTTTTGGAAATACTTGATCCACATATGTGTTCACTGTTTTTTAAACAGATGCATAGAATCCTGGGGGGGAAATGTCTGTTTGTAGAACTGCAGGTCTAATGTCTAAATATAGGGGAGGAGTTTAAAAGCATCACTGAAAAACCACAGGTATTTTACTCACGAGTGTCATGACTAAGTACCAGTGTTCCCTCTAAGCTGAGTTGGTGTGAGCTAGCTCAGTTTTCTAGCCTCCGGCTCACACATTTTTGTCTTAGCTCAGGAAGGATGGCTCCAGAGCAAATTAATTTATGCAGGAGCCAAATCACTCACTCGCAATTTTAGTGCCAGTAGCTCACAAAGTAGAATTTTTGCTCAGAAGGCTCCACAGCTTAGAGCAGGTGTGTTGAGCTCATTTGTTATATGAGGGCCGGATCTGACATAAATGAGACCTTGTTGGGCCGGGCCATGTGTGTCATAAAACGTAATGCCAGGTAGTGGAGATATAATCTTTATAAAGGACACAAACACAAAGGGGTTTTTTTTACTTAAAATAAAAACATGCTTTTATTTTAGCACTCTTGCTAAACATTACCACTCTTGCAATATTTTGTTTATTTAACAGTGACACCTCTTGCTCTGAATTACTGCATCAAAACGTCTGTGCTGTCGCAATCTTGAGTATGCCGTTCAGGTGTGTATCTGTAAGCTGCAGACCTACGATGACGCAGCAGAACTGGAAGAAGAAGCAGAAGACAGCCAGTTCCACTGCGGACCTGATAGAAGCCCTCCGGGGGCCTAATCCGGCCCCCGGGCTGCATGTTTGACACCCCTGGCTTAGCGGGAGCATTGCTAGGTACCTTGCAGAACATTAGCAAAGGTGAGGGGGGATTTGAGATCTGATAGATCTGTGACCTGTATTTTAGGGACAACAATAAAGAGAGGGGAGAGAAGCAGAGGCAACAAGGTATGACATTAGAGGAACCTGTCTACATATGGCTGGGAGGGGAAGAAAGTGTCCCCTAACACGGAGCAGTTTCTTACAATAGCACAACATCTACCCATGAATTGCAGGACCTTGTATGCAAATACAAGACCCTGATCAATGTTTGTTTTGTTGCCTTTTTTTTTCAACTGAAGAGGGAAACTGCTTTCCTGACATGTAGCAATTTTGGGTATCTTTCCCTGGCCCCCAAAACTGCCAAAGAGCATACAAAAGTGGTCAGCCTCTACCTGTTTCCAGGAACGTCCTGTGGGAAGACGAAATTCTTCCCAGGTTGTTTCTACAAAAGAACAACATATCCTACAAATGGATCGCACCCGAAGGCACACTCTTCAAATGTAAAGATAAGAGGGGGGGGGGGATTGACTCTGTTATGAAAGCAAAAGAGTTTCTGCAGCAAAAATTGGATCCAACAGAAGAGGATGAGAAGAGCAAAAAGGGGAGTGATGATGAAGCACTTACTGGAGAAGATTCGGAACGTGGGGCGGCTGCCCCCAAGCAAGGATATCGATTGAGGGCAAGAAGAGGCAAATGAGATGCTAATTTTCTCTGACGTTTGACTTTTGATTGTTATTATCTAACCGTTCTTGTGCATGGTTCTTTACTAAGCCAGAATACCTGGACTTAAGTGATGTTAACGATCACCTTTGTTGTTGTTGTTCAGTCGCAGTTGAGTCCGACTCTTCGCGACCCCATGGGCCAGATCCCGCCAGGCCCTCCTGTCTTCCGCTGTCCTCTGAAGTTGGCTCAATTTCATGTTCGTTGCATCTGTGACACTTTCTAACCATCTCATCCTTTGCCGTCCCTGTCTTCTTTGACCTTCAATCTTTCCCAGCATCAGGGTCTTCTCCAGCGAGTGCTCCCTTCTCATTGGGTGGCCAAAGTATTTGAGCTTCAGTTTCATTATCTGGCCTTCCAGGGAACAGTCAGGGTTGATTTCTTTTAGGATTGACTGATTTGATCTTCTTGCAGTCCAAGGGACTCTCAAGAGTCTTCTCCAGCACCATAGTTCAAAAGAATCTATTCTTCGGCGCTCGGCCTTCCTTATAGTCCAACTCTCGCAGCCATACATGACTACTGGGAATACCATTGCTTTGACCATGCGGAGTTTTGTTGGCAGGGTGATGTCTCTACTTTTTATCATGCTGTTTAGGTTCGCCATCGCTTTCCTCCCAAGGAGCACCCACAATGTAACAAATTACTTTTTTTAAATTCAACGCTATTTTATTGTAAGCATTATATGACCCCCCATCTCTTGGGTTTTTACTGGTTTAGCTTTACTTTCTCCCATAGTTTATAGTCTCCCCTTCCCTGTTTTTCTTGTAGGTTTTAGAAAATAAAAAAATGGGGGGGGGGATTCTTCCCAGGGTATGCCAGCAACCCATATCAGGAGCTGTCTTTGCCGATGGATACAGTGAGCCCAGGCACAAGTGTTTGGACAGAGTGGGATTTACAACGGTGGGCCAGTCAAGCTGACAAGTAAAACGCTGGTCGTTATGGTGGGTCTTGTATACAGAAGGAAGGAGAGAAGAATTGCCGTTTGACTCGCGTGCCCTAGAAAATCTGCTGCATCTAAAACAGCCTGGGAAAATCAAACAGAGGTCTTTGGTTAGGAAACAATTATCTTGTGGATATGTACGGACAAGTAGGGATCCGTGATACTCCTGTGGCGCTCCCTTCTCCCTCTTAACTTTAATCCTCCCCTTGTCACTGCCTGTTGCTAAATCAAATTAAAACTAATAATAATAATACTTTCCATTTATTAATCGCTTTCCCCAGTGGGCTCAAAGCGATGTAGTTACTCATTATAGACAAGGGACTAACAATGTTTGTAGGGGATAGGGAAGACAACATATATTCATTTTTAATTGCACGCGCCATCACTGCCTGGTGTAGACGTCTTCTGGCTTGGCTCCGTCGTTTTCCGCACGGCTTGCTTGTTGGCCAGGCTTCAGGACCCATATGTCAATCGCCACACTGCCACCGCCTGGCCGGAACATCCATTGCAGGGATTCTTTCGTAGCCCACAAGCTCTTTCACCTTCCAAGCCTCGACCAGGACGTCCGACCGTCAGCTAACACCCTCCCACAAGGGAGATTAGCGTGCCCACCCTCTCTAAGGAGTGGTTCCCATTTTATCTACTCACCGAAGCTTTCGAATCGGTGGGTGGACGATGAGTTAAGAGGGGGAAGGGGTCCATGAGTACCGTGCCCCCCCGCCCCACTGTCACAAGTCCAGTGGGGCTCCCAGCCTCCGTCACTGGGCCACCTCGCTCCTGCCCCCCAGCATTGGTGCTGGCAAGCCCAGCATGGCTCCAGACCTCTGTCGCCAGGCCTGCCTCAAAGCTCCTTCACCCTTGTAGCCGATGCCAGCGAGCCCAGCACAGTTCCTGGCCTCACCCACGGTGGCTCCCCCCCCCCAACATCACCGCTGAGACTCTCTTCCCCTATGAGGAACGGTTAAGGCGCTTAGGGCTCTTTAGCTTGGAGAAACGACGACTGAGGGGGGACATGATCGAGGTTTATAAGATTATGCATGAGAAAGAGCAGGTAGAGAAAGAGGAACTTTTCTCCCTTTCTCACAATACATCAGTGGCTATTAGCCACAAGGTATAGATAGGGACCCTGGAGCAAGTGATGCTCTGTCATCTTGGTGCTTGGGGGGAGGTCAACAGTGGGAGGGCTTCTAATGTCCTGGCCACACTGGTGGACCTCCTGATGGCACCTGGTATTTCTGGCCACTTTGTGACAGAGTGTTGGACTGGATGGGCCTTTGGCCTGATCCAACATTGGCATCTCTTATGTTCTTATGTTCTCTACGCAAGCACAGGCAATGTTTTTGGTTTTTTAGGGTGGGTGGCTTAAACCCCCACCCAATGTGACTTTTCTTAGTTTTCAGACTTTTCTGAAGTTTATAGGAAAGTCTGAAAACAAAACCCTAAAACTTAAAAAAAACTCTAAAAAAAGAAAAATCTATCTGTCAGTGTGAACCCAATCTACAGAGTTAGGTATCCACAGACTGACCCATGCATAAGAAGAACATATATAGATGATGTCACTAACATTTGTAATTCAAGATTACAGAAAGATCTGAGTCAGCTTCATATAGCTTCTTGGCTAAAGAAATATTAGGACTGGAGGATCATAGGGAATGGGAAATGCAGAACAGAGTCTAAGAACATAACATAAGAGAGAAGCCAATGTTGGATTACAGAATCATAGAATGTGAGAGTTGGAAGGGACCTTGCAGGTCGTCTAGTCCAACCCCCCGCACTCTGCAGGAGCACAGCCCAAAGATAGCCCTACAACATACCCAAAAGATGGTCGTCCAGCCTCCGCTTGAAAACTTCCAGCGAAGGAGCATCCACCACCTCCCGAGGCAGACTGTTCCATTGCTCAACCACTTTGACAGGACGTTTCTCCTGATATTCAGCCGGTATCGACTCCCTTGTAATTTCCATCCATTAGATCTAGTCTTGCAATCTGGAGCAAGAGAGAAATAGATCTGCTCCATCTTCTACGTGACAGCCCTTCAGATACTTGAAGACTGCAATCATGTCCCCTCTAAGCCTTCTCTTTCCCAGACTAAACATACCCAACTCTTTTGGCCTTTCCTCATAAGACTTGGATTCCAACCCTCTCACCATCCTGGTTGCCCTCTTCTGGACACGCTCGAGCTTGTCAACATCCTTCCTAAAATGTGGTGCCCAAAACTGGACACAGTACTCCAGGTGAGGCCTGACCATAGCAGAATAGAGCGGAACGACCACCTCCCTTGAACTGGACACAAAGCTTCTGTGAATGCATCCTAAGATTGCATTAGCTTTCTTCACAGCCACATCGCACTGCAGGCTCATGTTTAGCTTGTGATCAGCCAGAACACCCAGATCCTTTTCGCATGTGCTGCTGTCAAGCCAAGTCCCTCCCATTCTATATCTGTGCCTTTGATTTTTTTGTACCTAAGTGTAGGACTTTGCACGTGTCTCTATTGAAATTCATTTTATTTGTCTCCGCCCACTGTTCCAGCCTATCTAGATCATTTTGAATCCTGACTCTGTATTCTTCAGAATTAGCAATGCCACCCAGCTTCGTGTCATCTGCAAATTTGATAAGCATCCCCTCTATGTCTTCCTCCGGGTCATTTATAGAAACATTGAACAACACCGGGCCTAGGACCGAGCCCCGCGGCACTCCACTCGAGACTTCCCTCCACGTAGACGCAGAGCCATTTACGAGCACTCGTTGGGTACGATTTTCCAACCGACCATGAATCCATCCAACGGTTGCCCCATCCAGCCCACACTTAACCAGCCTATCCTCAAGGATATCATGAGAAGCTTTGTCAAATGCTTGACTGAAATCTAGATACACTATATATACACTATATATTGGATCACGCCAATGGCCCATCCAGTCCAACACTGCCATACAGTGGCCAAAAGTACAAGGTGCTGCCAGGAGGTCCAGCAGTGGGGTTTTGGTTACTGTACCTTGAAAAGGACATCGCAGACCTGGAATAAGTACAGAGGAGGGCAACCAAGACGACAGGGAGGTTGGCACACCTTCCCTGTGAGGAAAGGCTGAAGAGTCGGGGGCTTTTCAGTATAGAAAAGAGAAGACTAAGAGGGTTTATAAAATTACGCATGGGGTGGGGAGAGCTGACAGGACTTTTTCTCCCTCTCCCAAAATCATAGAACTCAGGGGCATCCAAGAAAACTATGGGCAGTCGATTCAAGAGAAGACCAAAGCAGACACTTCTTTACACAATGAGTTATTAAAACGTGGAATTTGCTGCCAGAGGGGCGTAGAAGGGGATTAGACAGATTCATGGAGGGTAACTTGGTGTAGAGAGCCAGTTTGGTGTTGTGGTTAAGTGCGCAGACTCTAATTTGGGAGAAGCGGGTTTGATCCCCCCACTCTTCCACTTGTACCTGGCTGGATGACCTTGGGCAAGCCGTGGTTCCGATAAGAGCTGTTCTCCCAAGGGCAGTTCTGGGAAGAGCTCTCTCAGCCCCGCCTACCTCACAGGGTGTCTGTCGTGGGGAGGGGAAGGGAAAGGAGTTTGTAAGCTGCTCTGAGACTCGAGTGAAGGGCAAGATATAAATCCAATCTTCTCCTCTCCTCTTTCTCTATAACTGGCTACTAGCCATGGTGACTAAAGGGAACCTCTGCATTCGGAGGCAGTAAAGCTCTGAATCCCAGCGCCAGGAGGCAACATCAAGGGAAGGCATGCCCTATTGTTGGCCCTCGAGAGGAACTGGCTGGCCACTGTGTGAGACAGGATGCTGAATTAGATGGACCCTCACTGGTCTGACCCAGCAGGGCTCTTGTGTTCTTGTGAAGGCCTTGGCCTCTGTGTCCTTTGTTGGACCTCCAGAGGAACTGGTTGGCCAGTGTGTGAGACAGGATGCTGGACTAGATGGACCCTCACTGGTCTGATCCAGCAGGGCTCTTGTGAAGGCGTTGGCCTCTGTGTCCTCTTTGTTGGAACTCAAGAGGGACTGGTTGGCCACTGTGTGAGACAAGATGCTGGACTAGATGGACCCTCACTGGTCTGATCCAGCAGGGCTCTTGTGTTCTTGTGAAGGCCTTGGCCTCTGTATCCTCTTAGTTGGACCTCCAGAGGGACTGGTTGGCCACTGTGTAAGACAGGATGTTGGACTAGATTGTCCACGGATCTAAATGCAGGGCTCTACTTCTTACCTTTGGATTAAAAAGCAACTCCTTAATGCCATCTACAGACATCAAAGGGCTGTCAAAATCATTACCGTGTTGCTATAATTGTGAATATCTAATCTTTGAGAGCCAGTTTGTTGTAGTGTTTAAGAGCATGGTGACACCAACCAGTCTCTGTCAGCATAACCTACCTCACAAGGACGCTGTGAAAATAGAAGAGAAACACATCTGCCAAACTAAGTTCTTTGGAGGAAAAAAGAAGATAAAAATGGATTATAAAGGTCACTCACATACTTAGGATTGGCACTTAGATTTTTAAAAGCTTTTTGATCAAAAACACATATTTTTGAAAGCGAAGGCTGACTTTGTGTTAAACACAATGGAGCTAGAGTTAACAAACTCAAGGTGGTGCCCGGAGTTGTCTTGGAATTACAACAGCACTGACCTCCAGACTACAGCTATCATTTTTCCTGAACAAAATGGTGGCTTTGGAAGGCAGACTGTATGGTATACAGGTACAGTTTCTATGGTAACCATAGTCCAGAAGAGAAGAAGAGACTGGATTTATACCCCGCCCTTCACTCAGAGCAGCTTGCAATCTCCTTTCTCTTCCCCTCCCCACAACAGACACCCTGTGAGGTAAGCAGGGCTGAGAGAGCTCTTCCCAGAACTGCCCTTGGGAGAACAGCTGTGACAGAGCTACGGCTTGCCCAAGGTCATCCAGCCAGGT